AAATACTAGAAGGGATCTAAGCCTTTTTTATCCGCAATATATGCAGTATTTTTTAAAAATTCAATAGTTTTTGATAATTATCTCATAAACTTTATGAGGTATAAAAAAGTTACGAACAAAACTTTATTGGTTTGTAATTTTACACAAGTAATGTCCTTACGATTCACCATCTATCATTTTTTTACTTACACCATTTTACGACAAAACCTTAGGTGATAAAGCATATCAGGATATTCAATTTTTTTAAGCGTTTTCTCGTATCGTAAGTAGATTTCGAGATAATGCGAAGTCTGCTCGTGCATGGAGTACCGCTGTCACATATGGCTGGTGCTGCAAAATAATACCTGGCAGCATTGGACTCTCTCTATATGATTTTGAAAATGGGAAAAAATATTATGTCGTTTTGTTAAGTAGTATTTTACGAGGTAGAGTCATACTGCAGCTTTTATAGTAGTATAGTTGTAGCACGAATGGGCCGGCTCGAGCGGGGAAGGACCATGCTCTCACAGAATAGCAGCGTAAAATAGCAGCTTAACGCTACTGTGTTTCATATTGTGAGTGTAGAGAACCGGAGACCCTTTTTACTGGAAAGGAGGCATTCCATCTTAATCCTCTCGAGTGACAACAGATTCGCAATTTGATTCGTAATCGAGGATAGATGGAGATGTCTATTGGCCACAGCAACCACTTACCATCAGGTGGACTTTGTGCTCATGTGTCACCCAAGAAGTGTCAATTCTGTGAGAGCATGGTTCTGCTCCGGTCGAGCCAACCCATTCGTGCTACAACTATATTATAGCAGCAGCGTGGTATATATATATATATATATATATATATATATATATATATATATATATATATATATATATTTATTATATATATATAGGGAGGATTTTGCCATCGTTGCTACGCTAGGGCGGCAACTGCAGTTTTTTATTAATTTGAGTTGTGACGTGCTGACCATCTTTTGTTTTATTTTTCCTCTTTCCCTCTGTCGCCTCTTACGACACTCACAGAACGATATGGGTTAGTGGATATTTTTGCACCGTTATAAAGTTAAATAATCATTTTACTATTTTAAGTGTTCTATAATTTGTAATATAACAAGATAATAAGTAGAATGTCATCTTAATAGCTACTTTAAAAATTTCATTCCCAATTTTCCCACCCTTAGGGCTGAATTTTTCTTGAAATTAACGTGGGACCATCCTTAAGGTATAACTTATTTGATATAATCAAACATTAAGGATAGAGTATAGTGTATGGAAGACTGACAAGAAAAACTCCTACTTTAGTAGCATTATGAGTTTTTTTTTAAATTGCTGTGGTGTTGATGGATGTCTGCTGGAATTCGCATGTCCTCAAAATATTTTACATTTCATACATGCAGGCTTCTTTACGATGTTTGTTTCCACCGCCGAATACATTATAAATTAGCTGTTATTTTGTTGTTGTCTCCATAGACTTAGAATATACTGGCGTATAGACGATCTGACAGCCCGAAAACGCGTGACAGTTTTGATTTGCCATTGTGTGCGTTAGCTAGGGACGTACATTTTACTTACAATGACTATCGAAAAATGATTATTAAGAAAGTGGCAAAAGATTAAAAAACCAGTGTAGTGCACGAAACCGAATAACATTTACTGAATTTTTAATATGATTTACTAAAGTAATTAAAAAAATATTAATAAACATACTCTCGAGAACAGGTGCTTGTTCTCAGTCTTGTTCTTCAGTATGTTTATTAATATCGAGAACAAGCACCTACATGCGTTTTGATGGATTTTAATTCAAAATGTACAAAATTCCAAAAATCTCTGTAGAAGTGAGTCTACCGAATAAACAATTTCCCTCAAGAATCATATTGGAAAATTGTATTTTGGAAAATTTTATCTTTAGAAAAAAATACTGCCGTGGATAGTTTCCTCGGAATTTCTTTTTTAACATAATTGTAATCAAATATAAACAGGTAGATACTTAATTAAGTAATTTTATATAATATTATGCTGGTGAAATAAAAAACGGGAACATGGTGTAAATAATGGCTTCTTTATATTTTATATTTTAAGTATTACATTTAATAATTACAAACATTAATAATTAAATACATTATAGAAGTTTATTTTAAAATTCCACTTAAATATGAATGTAAACTTCACAATATAAGCAAGAAAACTTGTAGGAATCAGTTAAATAAGATTGCCCTGTTTTTAATGCTAATATGTTTATGACGCTACTCCCTCTATCATCCGTCCCTGAAAACTATAAAGTAATAATAAGCTTATTATCATTTTGTGATAATAATATTAACAGAAACTAACCAAATACGCAGGAGAAATTAAATATGAAGTATAACTTCTAAGGATACATATGAACTCTTTATTTTCTCAATTTATGTTAATATATGTATATACGTGTGTAAAATATTCATCTATTCATGGAATGACCGCGGCAATAGCGGCTTAATCTCTCAGATCTATTGATCCGCGCATCTATTATATACTGTATAATAGATACGCTGATAATATATTACTGTACTACGAGCTCCTCTTCTCTAAGACTAACACTGTAGGTGATGAACCACGCTATTAAACCCTCGGCGCACTGTCTTCGGCTATTAAGGATTAATCAGGCAGCGAGCGTCGTTAGTATCAAATACTATGAAATATATACTATCCTGGCACACTGAACGGCGCGTCTCATGCGCGGGCGTCTATCGGCGCTTCAGGAGTATAACTTAATATCTATTCTTATCTAAGTTAAGTTTTAGCATTGTGACTTAGGAATTATAATCCGAAGCTCCGCTCAACCCCTTGGGAAAAATAACGCGGTCCTATGAATACTGTAGTAGTGTGACCATGAGGTGTGAGTGGTTAAGCAAGGTTATAATTTTTTTCGGTCGATAAATAGATAATTCTTTAATGTACTACAGTTGTATAATGTATAAAAATCTTTCTTTATTTTCATTCATCAAACATTTTTGAAGTCAAATTTTTGAAGTCTTATTATAACAATGTTATACTTACTAACACACTACTACATAATGTAGAAATGGCACCTTTTAATAAAATTGGTTTTATTCTACTTTTTCTTTTAAACTTCTCAAGAAAATGTTTGCTGCAAATTATTGAGTTCTTCTTGGGATTTCAACTCCTAATTATAGAATCCGGGGGAATTCTGTTTCACAAACGTCGATATGAAATTAGATTTTCAGAACGCAAACCGAGCATTTATTTTCATCTTATTGTATGGGCAAGTTTATCGATTGATTATGAACATTTAAGATAAATATCGATATTAATTTTGATATAATTGAGTCAATCCCTAGCGTACATGTAAAATATTTTGTATAAATAATTATGTATTTACCAAATTCATGCAAATTATCAACAACGTGACTTTTTTCTTTGCAAAATATACAAATTAATAAACACAATAGACACGTTTTCTTATTGACGAAGTCTTGAGAATTTACTTGTGAAATTTGTGACATTGTGTCACATTCACTTACAGAACAAGGTACCATTTTGAAAAACAAGGTACTAAAAATAGTCTATGGTTGTCCCACAACCTGTAACTATACTGACACAATATTCCTTTCAGACCGGAACATAGAGACCTAGCAGACCGGAACTAGTGCACGCACAGAAGTTTGGCGGCAGAAATGGGTATGAAAGCTACCCCCCCTCTCTATATAACTATTCTATTCTATTTTATTGTATACTGTTTTGTTCTGGTCTACTTTATTCAATTCCATTCTATTATGAAGATGCTGCTGCCATCTCTTAAAAATAAATAAAATCATATGATCTATTTATCACTTGGTAAGCTATTCCCAGAACTTCCAATACTAGAGTGCTCGTTATATTTTAATGAAAAGTATTCAGCAAGAGCCATTTTCCGTTTTCTTTTGAGATTGTGACTGACGTTGTCAACTGATATGACAGTGTCATGTCATGTACATTGAAACGTTACGGCCTGATTGACTTTTCTTTCACAAAAGGTTATCCCTAGATACTGCTACCCGAGGCTCCCCTAGCCTCCATCTTGTTACATAATTATGGCAACTTGTCGTTTTTCTGATACTTTAGATTCATTTTTTAAAATTAAACTATACGCAAAATAGAAAGAAAGAACGAAATAAGGAAAGAAATAGGTTTACTTGGCACATACATCATAACAAAGAAAAATAAATCAAGTCAAATAGATTTTTTTATCTTAACAATAATATTACAAAAAGAAATATGCACCAAAATGGTTCCACTCAGTTTTAAGGCGACACATCGAAAAGTGGCTCCAGGCTATCACCGTACTGATCCGAGTGAATACATAATCTCTATAAAAACTTGAAAAAACGCCGTCATAAGTTCGGAGACGAATAAAACCGCTTAGAAATTGTCAGAATCTTAAAATATTTTTTTTTAATTATTGATTTAAGTAATCGAAATAATGAGCAAGTAAATTATAAATATTGATGTTATGAATATATTTGAGTGATTCCTAAGGATATAGATTAAGTAATTTCGTTGTATTTCAACTATAGTGATTTTTTAGAGGTGTTTTCGCAAATAATTATGATCGAGTCAAAATTAAACAATCGTGTTTTCGAACAATCAAATTGACATGAATTTACCTATATCAAAATTCCACTTTCGTTAGTGATGTCATAGTCCTATACTATTCGATGAAAAGAGGTGCATTTTTTTCGCGGTGTCGCCTTAAGTCACGAATTGCAGATATAGGTATATTAATACGTAATGCAGACTTTCAGTGGATCCAGGAATGTGAGACAGATGACAATCACCAGCATGTAAACAAAAAATACGACAATGATTAAGATCGATACAGAAATGGACGATCCTGAGCTACACCACGGCCGCAGCCTGGCTATGTAAATTCATAAGGTCGATAGTGCGCGCGTTCCGAATTACAATAGCATTGGCTATTGTCTATAAAAAGCAGCGCTCGCGCAAAGGACCAAGCGAAAGTCGACGAAAATGAAGGTGATTACACGTTGTGTTTATATCTTGTGGTTGTGTGAATTAACGATCTGATACGAGGACTTGTTTTAAGTTCCTGTTGATATTTCGTGTTTCTCCCGTTTGATTGCGGTGTAAGAATATCGTCCCGTAGGCGTCGTACGAGGCGACGGAGGAAAAAATTCGGGAGATGGGCAACAGCGTCTTCATGATGACAATTAATGAATAATAAGCTAAGTCAACCCTCCCGCAAAGCGTGACAACCATGGCAAATATTTTTATCTACGAGGAAATCATGGGGGTGATTTATGATCAGGAATGGACTTTTTGTAGAGGCTGTAAAGGGAATAGAATTGGTATTTTATGTTCATTAATTTCGCATTTTTCACCTTTTTATTAAAATCGATTATATATTTTGAAACCAATATCGATAATCGAACTTGCAATAAGTCGCGAAATGGAAAGACGATCGAAACCGAATCGAAGCTAAAACCATTTTTTATATTATTAGATTCAAAAAATAATTTATCAACGCTATTAAAATTTATTGCATGGAGTCAAAAGGCACATTTAAACCCACGACATTTTTTTAAATATAAAACAAATTTGACAAATATAATCGCATTTCATGTGAACTTATTTTTGATTTCCGACATTTCCAGTCTGATACACTGTGATTATGGGTGACTTAAACCACTCAAAACGTTAAAATTTAAATTTAATTTTAAAATTTAAGTTAATATTAATTGTGACAAAATATGTAAAAAAGTTTCATTCCACGTACGGACGTAAATTTAAATTAAACGTGTTTTTAGTTTCGCAATTTCTACCCTTAACGATTGTTTTTTTGCTTGTTTGGTTTTTATTTTTAGTTTTTTTTACCGTAGCGTGACTGGATTTTCAGTCGAGCATAATCGAATTAACAAATGTATTATTTAAACTTTTTGTGGTTTTGATACCTTTTGTTTTTATAGTAGATTGATGCCTTACCACCAGTATAATTTTGAGCTTTTCGGCAATTCATACTCGAGTTCTAATGAGTGACAAACAAGCTTGTAATTACTTTGTTTAAAGTTAGCGGCAAGTTTCTGTAGGCTATAGTTACCGCTTTTCGGTGTGTGTAGACTATAGAGTACTGGAGGTCGGTAAGCTTGAGGTATTCTAAATTTTAATAATATAAGTAATAATCGTCGTCTACAAAATGCTTTATTTTATCATATTTTTTATTGAAAGCCGTTATATATCACATCGCACAATAAAAAAGACTAAAACTACAAGTTAGCGATGGAATATGTATCGAGCCAGTGAAAAGGTTTATGACTCAGCTTATATAACCAAATTGTATTTTGATTGAGACGTATTTACATAGATATATCCGACAAGAGTAGAATATACTTAAATAAGACAGTATTAAATAATAATTACTTGAATAGTTTTTTGTTTTATAAATGCGCGCGACTTTCGTTTAAATTAACATTTTTAAATATTCCTTAATAGTGGAATCCTACTATAGTACGTGAGGGTAATATGATTATCCGGTTAAGATGGTCACTTTCTTAGAACTTTAAAACTACAGCCTTGTGTATATAGATGGCTTTGTGATACGATAGCTCTTCATCGGTCAATCGAATAATAAAGGGTTAAAAGGGTGCTGCTTTATCGACGCCATTTTGACAGTGGATATTAAAGTAAACATTTTAGTCGATTTTAATGTAGTTAGTTTTTTAAAGTCCATTTTTCGAAGTGTGGATAATTATTGCCAAGGCTTGTTAGCTATTTTTTTCTTAATATATTAGTTATAGTATAAGACTGAGTTTTTGTCTCCATCCTCATCCTAGTTATCGGCAAAGTTTAAGGTGACCATATTACACTCACGTACCTTATTACTCGTATTTTAAATAAAACCCATTAACAATTTGCTAAATCAATTCACTGTAATTTAACCTTACAAAATAAAAAATCTGACTATGTAAAAAAGTTTACTAAAAAGAGAAAAATTTACACGATTAATATAAGACGAATGTAATACACTGAAAGCCCATATTAAAATCCATCAGATCGTTTAAGCTTCGAGTACACAGAGCGTGCCAAAGACATATACATACATACATATTGTATATAAATATCCTCCAAAACATTACCCTCCTGCTCCAGAAGGCAGTCGGGTAGTAAATCATATATTTCAAAGTTTAAATTTAAATAAGTTTAATGATTTCTTAAATTTACGCGAACACTACACATTGAATAAAACTATATTTACGGATTTTATCGCTTTAATTAACTATTTTAACTTATTTTTAATTCCCGATGTTTCGGGTGCTTTACAGCTTACAGCACCCATGGTCACGTGGGGGATTGAGATGTTTGACGTCCCAATGTCACAGTTAGCCCGGCTACCTTTAGTTTTTGAATATTAATTTTTGGTCCGATCTACGCAGAACGAATAAGGTTTTAATTGAAATAAGTTTTAAAATATATGAACCTTATTTATTTTATCAGGGACTGTTTACTGTCGTATCTCTGTTGCTGAGTGGTGTCCTCAGTGAAGCACCAGCACCATACCCGCCCAGTGGCTGGAGACCGAACGGTCCAGCATTCCAACTGCCAACGAAGACACAAACTCAGGTATAGTTTTAATAATTATTTATTAAATAACTCTTTTTAAGTCATATCTCGTCTTTCTTCTACTATATCGTCCAGTCCAGTAAAAATCCACCGCTGGAGGTGGGCCTCCGCCGTTGTGAGAAGGATTTACCTTAGTCATCACACTTGATGAAAATATTGCAATGCCAGACGTCTCGCATCTAAAATACACGTAAAACGCTCTCCAGTTCACTACACATATCATACGAAACACAGACGCATTATGTGCTGAATTAAGCCTAAGATGAGCAAGGCTTTGGCGGTCACTTGATGGTTAAATAAACCAATTAACGCTAAAACCGAATTGGGTAGACCTGTGTTGCGGAGTTAGTGGGACGTATGGGACTTTTTTTACTTTAGGAGTGGACTAAAACAAGGATCTGTTTGATAGCATTAAACTTAATTTTTATTTAATTACTTGAGCTTTGTTGCAAAAATTGAAATAAGGCGAACTTATTGTTACAACGCGTTTTCATCGTATATTTTTTTCTGATGTATATCACAGTACCTATTAATTATACAAATCAAAATAATATAGACATAAAGGACGTAGTTAAAAGGATCCACTCACACTCGGTTCAAAAATGAGTTATATAATATGCCAAAATAATCCTGAGTCTAGACTTTCATTTAAAAAAAAAGACGTAGATTTAGCATATACATATAATAATACTATGGAATTAACAGTTCCAGTAAAAGTAGCAGGTGATAATAAACTCGAACGTTTTGTAGCCCACCATTATTGTTGAATACTTGTCGTCCTGTGAATGCTGTAAGATGCGATGAAATAAAACAGAGAATAGGTTTCAGCATTTTTCTGACAACAACTCTAAATAAGGAAAACTGCGGTTAACAACAGCCAAGTGTGTCAAATATGGCAAAAACCGCCCTTTTGAGGCAGTCCTTAGGGTGGTCTATATTCAGTAGTGAACTATTAGTAGTTTGTTATAAGTATATGAATGATACGAACTTTACAGTTATATCTGGTAGCTTTTTGATAGTAAGATCCTTTATGCATAATAATGTTTAATTCTACCTTACTTTCTCTTTCTCCCCTGGTGTTGCGGTTGATCATGGGCGGCGGTAGTCACTCAACATCAGGTGAGCCGCATGCTCGTTTGCCCCCTCTTCTACAAAAAAAAAAAATTGTTGCGCAATCCAAGCCCTGTCCTCCAGACCGAATTTATGTCACGGCGGCAAGTCTCAACGGAGACTAGCCATCGGCGCAGGACAGGATTATAGTGCCCAAGTGTATGCGCAAGCACAGGTGCAATCTCTATTCCCTCACTCTCATTATCCGATGGGACGGTAAACCGACACGACCGGAGGAGATCAGGCCGAGGATCAATGTACTTTCCGAGGCACGGGGGTGAAACACCGCCAGCTTCCAACTCCGGGCTGTTTATGAGAATTTCTTTACAAAAATCCAATAAGTAATTTTTATCCGCCCCGGAATTCGAACCCAGGACCTCATGAACACCAATCACATTTAAGACCACTAGACCAACGAGACAGTTAAAGAAATATTAATTTAAAAAAAATAAACCCGGTACGGCAATAAAAAGGAAAAAAAATCAAGATAAAGATGTCACTGATGAGACATTTAAGAAAGTGTATCATTTTACGAATCTGTTATTGAACGTCGTAAGTCTATTATAAGAGATTTAATTATTACGTAGTAGAGCCATACTTCAGCTAAATTATGATTATTGCACAAATAGGACAGTTCGTCTTGGGACCACGCTACAGAATTCCAGGAGTAAAATTGCAGCAGCAGTGAGTGTAAAATACCGAAGAGCCTTTTTACTGCAAACGATGTATTTCATATGACAGTACAACTGCATTTTGATTCTTATTCGAGGGTAGATGTAGATGAATCAAAACATACACTTACCATCACATTGTGTGCTCATTTGTCACCCTAGTACTATATAGAAAAATATAGCTATTTTTATAATTTATTTTCTTTTCTAGTATCGTGGAGGCGTTTTGCATACATAAATTACACATGACATGTATCCAGATCCAGAACAATCACTTGTTTGGGTCGAACCTATTCAAATCCTTATTTGTTTCGGATTCGAACCCGCGGCCGTTAGCGCTACAGCCAAACAATTAGCCACTGTACTTCCAAGGCGATTTATTTTGATATTTTAAGTTGTCCTTATAATTAATATTATATATTATATGAATTTCTCCTCTCCCAATTATACATATTGAACTAAACCATTTCTTTTCGCAGCTTCCTCAAAGACCCGAGTACTTACCTCCTGTCGATCCCCGTATTCCCTTCAGACCGACAGAGTACGACTCGGGCGTCGACGTGTCCGTCCAAGGTTTGCCCACGCAAGAGCAGCTTCCAATATTCCAAGTTTCACCGGTCAATGGGCAGCAATATGTCGGACCAAACTTTAATACCGATATAAGAGGTCTGGAACAAAATTTCCAACAATCCCAGGTAATATAAAAATTCAAGTTTTTATTATGCAATTGCTCACCATCACCATCGATGGCAGGAAAGAATGTGTGGAGAGAACATGGCAGAACCTTAGGGATGGAATGGTAAGTGCAGCGGAAGAAGTATGTGGTACGACAAAAAGAGGTAGTAGTAAAAGAAGAGATGCATGGTGGAATGATGAAGTGAGAGAAGCTGTAAAAAAGAAGAAAAAAGCATGGTTAGACTACTTGGCCTCTAGTAACGATGAGCATATGAGAGAGAAGATGAAAGAAAGATATAAGCTGCAGAAAGTTCATGCGAAAACATTGATTGAGGAAGTACGTGAAAGGTGTAGAATAGAAGCGGACGAGAGGTTGTCGCACAACTTTAGGGAAAACTCCAAACTCTTCTGGAAAGAGGTTGGAAGGTCCCGGAGTGGTGCGACAGCCTTAAGAATGAACAAAGTGCTTTCGAGAACCAATGACATCCTCTCAAAAAAATCGGACGTCATGCAGCGATGGAGTGAATTTTATAGAGAAATGTATGCGTGTCATGATCTTAGTGAAGGATCCGGGGGTGACGCCGTGACTGGCACGCCAGACACGGACCTCGATGACACTGAGGTCATCAGCATGAAAGAGATTGAACGTGCGATTCGAAGTTTGAAATGTGGTAAGGCTGCGGGACTAGACAGAGTTACTGCTGAAATGGTCAAGTACGGTGGGCCTCGCGTCTGGGACAGCTTCCATCTGCTGTGCAATTTGTGCTGGCGGACGGGAGATGTCCCGGGTGACTGGCGATCCGCGGTCATTGTGCCTTTATATAAAGGTAAAAGTTCACATTTTGACTGCGGGTGCTATCGGGCGATCAGCTTGACCAGTTTAGCAAGTAAAGTTTACTCGAAGGTTTTGACACGTAGGATGCAAGAGAAATCGGAAAGATTCTTATGGGAGGCTCAATGCGGATTTAGACCTGGAAGAGGATGCACGGATCAAATGTTTTCTCTCCGCATGATCACGGAGAAGCTTCTGAGTGTTAACCAGAAGATTTTCTGTGCTTTTGTGGATCTGGAGAAAGCATTTGATAAGGTTATAAGGAAGAAAATGTGGGAACTGTTGCCGGGATATGGTGTGGATGGTCGATTGTTAAGGGCTGTGCAGTCACTTTACTATGACTGTAAAGCCTGTGTGCGGGTAGGGCATGACCTGTCACCCATGTTTAGCGTCCAAGCGGGCGTAAAACAGGGTTGTGTCATGTCTTCCTGGCTGTTCATACTGTATCTCGACAGCTGTTTACAGAAGCTGAAAAATAGCTGTTTGGGTGTGAAATTGGGTGACATAAAAGTTAATTGTCTGCTGTATGCTGATGATGCAGTGCTTATTGCACCATCAGAAGCAGAACTGCAGGAATTAGTCACGTGTATGAAAGAGGAATGTGAAATTAAAGGTCTCCGTTTGAATGCTAATAAAACTAAGGTTCTGGTATTTGAAAAGGACGAAGAGAGAACGAAATGTGAAATATGGGTAAATCAGGAATGTCTAGAACAGGTAAATGAAATTGTATACTTGGGGAGTGCTTTCAGCCGGGATGGAAGATGTGATTTAGATGTGGATAGGCGTGTCGCTGCCGGAAACAAAGTCAATGGTGCCCTGAATGCATTAGTAAAAAGGCAAGGCGTGGTGAAGAGTGCACGCCTTGCAATACATAATGCAATGTTGGTACCGACTTTGTTATATGGCAGCAAAACCTGGGTATGCCAGAAGAAGCATAAAAGCAAGTTGAATGCAGTGGAGATGCGATCTCTTCGTAAAATGTGTGGCGTTACCTTAGCCGACCGAAAGTGAAACGAAGAGATTCGCAATATGGCAGGATTGAAAGATGACCTTATCACAAAAATTAATCGGGGCGTACTCCAATGGTTTGGACACGTTGAACGAATGAGTGAAGACCGAATGGTGAAGAAAATATATAGAGCGAAAGTAAATATTAAAAGGTGTCGAGGTAGACCGAGACTAACTTTCGAAGACCATGTGAGCAAATTGCTCGAAGAGGGGAGGGTCAAGAGTACTCGGATACCTAGACGTGCATGTATGAAGAAGTTAATGAACCTGAAAGAAGCGAAAGAGGTATGTAAGGATCGTGACACTTGGCGATCTGTTCTCTCTGGCTACCCCGTTAGGGATTGGGCGTGAAGATAAGTAAGTAAGTAAGTTTTTATTAGTTAATTTGTTTCATTACAATTTAATACAACCCATCAAAGTTCACTGCAGAACACAAGTCCATAGTTTGCCTCGTAAGAAGCATATTTGCTATTTTTGCCACGATTGACAGACGTCTATTACTAATTGGGTACGAATTGTATAAATTTCGATATTTTTAATTGAATTATTTATATAATTTAAAAATTTTGTAGTTATTTTTTTAGTACAAGTCAAATTAGAAGTATTTATTGATAGATCAATTTCATAACAAGTTAATGTAGAATAAATAAAGAAATTGTAAAACATCAGTGGTATAGGCTTATATTCCGATCACCAGTTATTACTACTTAAAAAAATCAATGCGTATAAGCATATTTTGCTTATACGCATTGATTTTTTGCAACGACTGACTGACTCATCACGAGATTTCTAAAACTACACACCAGATTGACTTGAAATTCAGTATAGTTACTCACTTCGCATTGTAGACGCTTACTAAGAACGGCTTTTACGATAATCCGATCATAAAAAAAAATAACTTTTCTTGATATTTATATCTAGGTTCCACAATAAAATATTATAGTGCGTCGATCGAAGCGAGCCGGTATCAGGGAGTTATCGTAATTCCCACATTTGTTTAGGGCATGATTGGCATTGTGACATCTAATTTGGATATTTTTTAAGTTGTTACGACTCGCTCGAACGAAATGGAGTGATATTTTTCTTACGAGTCCTAGTCGTTAATTTTTAACTTCATAATAATGACTTTCTTTTGTATTTACGTAAATATATTCGAGTACTTTGTAGTATAAATGCTTTAGTGAGTAACGCTTAAAACATCGGCGGACGATTCTCATAGCTATGCTCCTACTATTTTATTTCAGTTCTGTGAACTAGAACCTAGTCGAAACACATAGATTTTGGATCTGGATATATTGTGACTCTGACAGTGCCTCTAATATAAATTATTAATTATTAAATCCGCGTTTATCGTTTATTCTAATATTAAATTAACGTTCTATCGCATACGTATTACATCTTATATTAGGGTAGGAGAAAGGCTCATCTATGGTGTGTAGTTCTATATTATTGTATTTTTTTGTGTATCTGAAAAAATTTTCTTTGTTAATAAAGGTATACAAATACGTTTGTACATAATATTATATTTTAATATTTGTATTCGAATAATTGTAACTAACCTACCAATATTACAAGTAGTAATTGTTACATGTTGTTATAATAACGATGTAATTTTCATTAAGGAAAAACGTCAAGAAGAAGTCTATATGTAATATGTTTTAATTTTTTTAAGAGCTGGTAAAATACTATATAGGTACTAATTTTAATAGAGCTTATATTTATGCTGGCAATTAGGAAGTCCTTTACGACGTACGTGAAGGAATGCAAAAGTGACAGGTTTTCTTTATAGTAAGTTACAAGCGGACGTGTATCGAACCCAAAGAGATACTAATTTGAGTTTATTTGAATTCCGTCATGTTACCCAATAGACAATTAACGTAACACATGCGCGTTGCTAACACTATAGATGTTTCGACATTAACCGGGACATCATCATCATCATCATTACAGCCTTTCACAATTCCACTGCTGAACATAAGCCTACCCCAAGAAATGCCACAAAGCACGGTCCTGAGCCATCGATTTCCAGCATATCTTATCAGGTCGGCACCTCATCTAGTGGGCGCTGCCCTACACTTTGCTTGCCGTTACGAGGTCGCCACTCGAGAACCTTGCTTCCAGATCGGTTGTTGGTTCTTCTAGATATATGGCGGGCCCATCGCCATTTCAGCAAAAAAGTTGCTCGTATTATTAATTTGATGCGTATAAACATGTTATTTTTTTTTACAAATCCTTGTAAAATAATTAACTATAATTTAAATAAAAATTTCGATACTAAGATGTAAATTAATAATTTCAGTTCCAACTACAACAAGAAAAAGCTCGTCAATTTTCAAGACAACAGCAATTTCCAGCAAACCCCAATGCTGCGAGCGGTCTCCCTAACCCTCAACAACCTCGTCAATTCGTACCACAAACTACCCCTGCTACTACCACAACCACTGTGAGATCCAAAGAAGTCGAGCCTACAACAGAATCCGACTTAAATCAGGGCGAGACATTAGACGATAAAAATGCATCGCCAAAGATAAAAAACAGCTCGGTTGAGGTGTCAAAGCAGAACTTACAGGAATACCCAGCAGAATTATTTTTAAGTTCACTAGCTCAGTTACAATTACAGCCACAGTTCGTACCGTTGCAGCAATTTGGACAAATTAGAGAACCAGTTTTCTATCAAACAGTTCAACAGAGTGCACCCGAGAAACAGGAAGCGGCTGGTTTCGATGGCCCAGCGCATTTTGCGGCCTTGCCCTCTGTTTTAGCACAAAATCAACTTGCAAGTCGACAGCAAGCACTTATTCCTGCTCAACAAACTTTTGTACAAAATCCGGCTCTATTAGTACCCCGAGGTCAAGAGCAGCCATCCAATCCCATAATTGTACCAGCTGTTAATCAAGAACCATTACCTCAATATCAACCAGTTGTAAATCAATATCAACCAATCGCACAACCACAGTATCAACCAATCGCACAACCTCAATATCAACCAATCGCTCAACCTCAATATCAACCAATAGCTCAACCTCAGTTAAATCAAGAACCATTGCCCCAATATCAACCAGCTGTGCAAACCCAAGCTGAACAAGAGCCATTATCTCAGTACCAACCAACTGTTAACCAATACCAACCAATTGCCCAACCTCAATTACAGCAGTATCCTCAATATCAGGCTCAACCCATCATTTATCAGCCACAAACTATAAGCCAATCTCAACCACAAAGTCAATCAAATCAGCGACATGAAGAAACTGAAGAGAACGACCAAGAACAACCTCAATACGTTTACCAACAGTCTTATCAACCACAGCAAGTTTACCAACCACAAGAAGTTTATCAACCTCAGTACCCTCAACCTCAAATACCAGCAAATCAATATCCGCAGCAAAATGTTTTCTTACCTCAGGGTCAGCAAAACTACCCAAATCAAGATTTAAATCAATATTATCAGAATCAATTAACTCAACAGCAATACCTAGTTCCTAATCAATTTGGAGCTCAACCTATTGTTCAGGGACAAGATGCTTTCCTTCAAAGTGGTCTTGATATAAATCAAGAAGGTAATGGCATTGAGCAGGCTGAGGAGCGAGATGAAAATTCTGAAAACGATGATGATGAAAAAGATGACGGCGCGAAGGCTACCGCCGTGGCGACTGCATTTGGGGCAAGGTCAGTATTCTCGATGAATTTAAATAAGTCTGCCTTTTCCAATCGCGCACCGAATATATAAATAGCGTCGAAAAACAAATTGAAGTATTTTGTCATAGTAAAGACGTGACGTTAAATTGTTATGTAGTAGCCGGACACATTTACATTGTAATTTGCGATGTGTAAAGGTTGTAAGGTTTGTACTATCAAATACTATAAGGGAATAATTAGGATGCAAAATACGTAAACAATGACATAATTAAGAAAAGCTCCGCGTAAAGAAAATGTCATATTCGGATGATGTAAAATCACATTACATTTTATGTGCGTACAGATAACAGAATATTCAAATATTCATTATGAATGTCACACACGGATTTATAATACTTCGGTCACGTACCAGTAGGCCTTCCCATACATAAATTATTAGATTGTTTGTTACGTTCGATCTCGTTAGTAGAATTTTTCAATTCTGTTGATTTTGTCTCTTCCAAATCTATTTCTCAATGTCCATGATTTATTTTTGTTTTTTCTGCAAGATTTTTCTGGTTCTTCATTTTGTTTTGTTATTACCATGCTTTTTAACTTTTTTATAGGATAAGGGTGACAAACGAGCACACAGTCAACCTGATGGTAAGTGGATGCTGTGGCCCATAGACATCTACATTTATCCTCGATTAAGAATCAAAACGAGGATGCGTTATCATCGCTGAGGACTACATAAGATGGAATGCCTCGTTTCCCGTAAAAAAAGAGTCTCCGGATCTCTACACTCACCATACGAAACACAGTATTATTAAGCTGCTATTTTACGCTGGTATTCTGTGAGAGCGTGGTCCTTCCCCGGTCGAGCCGACCCATTCATGCTACAACTATAATAGCTGCAGCGTGGCTCTACCACGTTTAATAGACATATACGAAGTAACTCGTTTTCGTGTATGTCTATTCGGGCCAAATTTAGTAATTGATTTTAAACTAAGTTACCGATAAGCTTAGATACTCGAAATTCACTGGGTGGCAATGTAAGAATATGAAAAAATACGTGGTATATTATAAAGCATACATAATTAAAAGAAAAACACTTCTCATCACTTTACTTCACAATGAATGCTTTATCCTTAATATTATCTAACTACGCATTTTTTTCATATTTACCTCGGATATATTTTGATGTGTGTATTTCAGTAATGAAAGTTTTCAACTGCGGTTAATTTTAAACCGACCCCCTAAGAGCGACAGAACTGCGCAGGCAGAAGCTATGTGTTTCGTTTTGTAAACTAAAAATAAATTAAAAAGAACTCCTTAACTCTGAAAGAGGGTATTGAATGAAGGAGGAAAGACCGCCGAGGACGCCGTGTTAGTTCAGGCCAATACGGATGGTTGACTTTCACATATCCAAAATATTTTCTTAATTTTTTAGATATTTATCAACGTCAGCATGTGGTAAATAACACTTAATATTGGAACAATCTGTTGAAGGGGTTCAAGCTCGGATTGCTCGCGGACTATGAAGTAGTAACGGCAATTAAAAAGTGAAATAATTATAATTTCATGTTTCCAGAACGCAACCACGCGTTTTCTCTCAATATGGTGCTCCAGCACAAAGACCGCGAGATCAAGCCAATCGTGGATATCCAACTACAACTGAATCGACTGCTGAGGTAAAGTGATAAAAACATTTCTTGTGTCAATACAAACTGTGGTTGACTGCCTTGTTGGTCAAGTGTTCGTAAGCTTGTCTGCTGATCATGAGATCCTGGGTTCGAATCCCGGGTCGTGCCTAAAATTAGTTGAGGTTTTCTGTAAAAATCTTCTCAGAAGCAGGCCGGAGACATAAAGTTCGCGGTGTTTCACTCCCATGACTAGCCCCTCAGCCCCCAAGCGGTCGAATTCGACCGCGGCGCTATTCCGTCAAAATTCAAGCGGTCGAATTCGAACGCGTACACCCACAGCACTTTAAACCATTAAAAATTATATTTAGAGACTACTTTTCATTACCGCCCGCTCAGGATTTGCCGGGCGCATGCGAGACTGCATGAGAATTTTAAGAGGACTGAGGGGCTAGGAAAGAGCGTAAACCGTTGATCCTGCGCCTGCATTCTCTCTCATCGTAGCGGACTGCCATCCCATCGCTCTTTGAGAGTGAAAGAATAAGAGAGTGTACCTGTGCTTGCGCAAACGTCTAGTCTCCGCTTAGACTGGACACCGTGGTCAAAATTCGGTCTAGGGGATATTATTGTATTCTCATCCAATTTGGCTGTATAAATATAAAGATTGGGCTTTATAAATAAAAGACAATGATAAATATAAATAAATATTAAGTAAAGTTACAGGCTATAAACGTCCCACTGCTGGGCACAGGCCTTCTCTTATTAATGATTAGGGCAGGGAAATGTCCACAGCGCTGCCCCTGCTGTGTTGGTGAACTATGTTAAGTTCAGCAAATTTCTTCAAAAGTCTTCGAAATATGTATTTATAATGATAATAAAAATACGTTATTATGAAATGTAAAGTATCTCTATAAAGTATCATGTTCTTTTTACTTCTTTGAAGTCGTCTTTTAATATTTACTAAAAGTTAATTTTAACTTTTTGAATGATACAATTGAAAATCTTCTGAAAAGTAGGTTTTACTAAATTATAACAAACAGAGTAGTATTATAATTTAAGAAAATACAAAAAAATAATAATTAATCACTAGTTATAGTACAGTAGTTAGTTTGACTTGCGCGTGTCCCGACTCTCAATTGTCAAATTTAAATAACGTTTGCTGATCAAATCAAACCAAATATATTTATCATTTTTTAGGATAAGGGTGACAAGCGAGTACATAGTCCACCTGATGGTATGTGGTTGCTGTGGCTCATAGACATCTACATTTATCCTCGTTTGCGAATCAAAACGCAGATGCGTTTTCAGTCGTGAGGACTAAGATGGAACGCCTCTTTTTCAGTAAAAAGGGCCTCCGGTTTTCTACACTCACCATATGAAACACAGCAGTATTAAGCTGCTGTTTTAAGCTGTTAATCTGTAAGAGCGTGGGTCCTTTCTCAGTCGAGCCAACCCATTCGTGCTACAACTATACTGTTAATATAGCAGCAGTATGGCTCTGTAAGATATAAACAAATGATTTTACATTACTTATTACATATCGCTATTTCCAGTCCAAATTGGACGTACAAAATTAAAAATAATCTATTTAATTTAATTCTAGTCAATTAAATTGTCATTTTAATAACTATTAATAGTAATCCGACAAAACAATATCAATTTAATAAATCAATTTTAATTGTACGTAAATTTAAAATTTAAAATAATAGGTCCTATATATACCAAGCTCAACTCTGCTGTATTTCGTATGTTGAGTATAGAGCACCGGAGATCCATTTTACTGGAAACGAGGCATTCCATCTTAGTCCTCACGGGTCACAACGAATCTGAATTGAGGATAGATGTAGATGTCTATGGGTAATAGTAACCAATCCCCATCAGGTGGATCGTGTGCTCGTTTGTCAAACATGTACTAAAATATTTTTTTTTATTTTGTATTATCATTATTATATTTATTAGTATTAGTTATTACATTAGATTCATGTATTCTATTGTCTTTGTACGTTTTATCCTATTCTACTACATATACAGTATTATATATGAATATATATACATATATATATATATATATATATATATATATATATATATATATATATTCATCATCATCATCATCATTACAGCCCTTCACAAGTCCACTGCTGAACATAGGCCTCCCCCAAGTAATGCCACAAAGCACGGTCCTGAGCCACTTGCATCCATCGACTTCCTGCATATCTTACCAGGTCGTCACTCCATCTAGTGGGGGGTCGCCCTACACTACGCCTACCGGTACGAGGCTGCCACTCGAGAACCTTTCTTCCCCATCGGTTATCGGTTCTTCGAGCTATATGGCCGGCCCATTGCCACTTCAGCTTACTAATCCGTTGGGCTATGTCGGTCACTCTGGTTTTACTGCGGATATCCTCATTTCTGAGTCTATCACGCAGAGAAACTCCGAGCATAGCCCTCTCCATAGCTCGCTGAGCGACCTTGAGCGTCCTCATACGGCCAGCGGTTGCACGCACTGGTTGTACACTTTAGTTTTCAGAGATTGAGGTATACCTGACGAGAAGATGTGTCGTAATTTCCCGAACGCATATATATATATATATATATATATATATATATATCCTATTCTACTACATACACATATTATACTCTACTACAAATACAAAATTTGCAGAGAAGATTCAGCATAAATAAAATAATTCAAATTCAAAATGCGTAGCAATGCATTATTTTAACTGACTACTGAGCATGTACACATTCGCAAGGATCGATCGGTAGGCAAAAAGGTTGCTGCCAATAAATCGCATTCAGTTTGGGATAATTTCAAATGAAAGTAGAAGCAATAACGGTATATCATTATTTATTTATTCGAACTTAAGTTTAAAATTTGGCTCCTATTTGAAAAATAGCCCTGTATAGTAAAACAGTGCAATATAGTCTTTTAATATTGCACTAGTAGTCAACATCTGACCTATATCCTATTTAATACTAAGCGTCTGGCTCGACAGTATTCATGCTGGCCTCAAAAAACAGCCTATCACACTTTGCCTTGAAGCTACTCAACTTACATTCTGTTTTTCGAAAATATAAAACTAGTACGAAAATTATTTAAAAGAGAGTGCATTTACTGTGGTTTTTTATAAAGTTGAATGTTAGAGTAAAAGTTATAAGAATATAACTAAAAATAATTATATAACACACTTGTATAAAATAGGGATATAAGATCAACATGTGAATGCTAGAGGCATAACTCTGCTATTTTACGCTGATATTGATATTCTGTACATCTTTCTGATTACAACTTTATATATATAGTAATATTACATATATACGTACCACTGTGGGCACACCCTCATTTCTGAGATATATATATATATATATATATATATATATATATATATATATATATATATATATATATATATATATATATATATATAGTAAAAGTAAAGTAAAGTTACAGCCTATATACGTCCTACTGCTGGGCACAGTCCTCCCCTCATTTCTGAGAGGGTTTTAGGGTAAGGAAGTGTCCGCCACGCTGCCCCAATGCGTGTTGGCGTACTTCACATGTCTTCGAAATATGTTTTTCTTATTCCTCAGACATGCAGGTTTCCTTACGATGTTTTCCTTCACCGCCGAGCACGTGGTAAATCAGCACTTAAAATTTCAATTAACAATTTCATTGGTGCCGGCGGGGATCGAACCCGGGTTATTCACGTTCTGTTATATTTACAGCGAGCGTTCACCATCTGAGCTACCACGGCTCGGCACTGCTATATATATATATATATATATTTATATCAGAGTTAAGATAGAACAAGTTAGTGTATTATGATTAAAGCCATTGCAAGAGTTACACGTCTCCTTTTCGTTAACACCTTCCAACATTACATGGCGACCCAGTTAGGCGATGCGCTGCTACAATGCAAGCGCACCTCCACGGCCTGCAAATTAATTTTAACTAAAAATAGATATTTATGATTTTTGAGATAATAAGAATATCAGTAATAGAGCCAAGGTACCGACTTCTACCATAGTTAGTTACAGCCTATATATATATATAAGTCCCACTCCTGGGCACAGGCCTCCGCTCATTTCTGAAAGGGTCCTCCTACCATGCCCTAACAAATATGTAAGTTAGAGTAGCCATCGGTCGGCTGGATATGGCGTAGTGGATTCTCTTTCATCGCCACTTTATGGAAAAAAAACTCTTTTTTTATGGGATAGGGTAACAAACGAGCACACAGTCCACCTGATGGTAAGTGGTTGCTGTGGCCCATAGACATCTACATCTATCCTTGATTACGAATCAAAATGCAGATGCGTTGTCACCCGTGAGGACTAAGGTGGAATGTCTCGTTTCCAGTAAAAAAAGATTTCCGGTTCTTCACATTCACCATATGAAACACAGCAGCATTAAGCTACTATTTTACGCTGGTATTATGTGAGAGCGTGGTCCTTCCCCGGTCGAGCCGACCCATTCGTGCTACAACTATACTACTAATATAAACTGCAGCAAAGCTCTACCACGCATTAAACTTAACACTTGCGGAAATACTTTATTTTCCATAAAATTAAATTACAAATGAGTTCAAGTTTGCCAATATAGTAACTTTTCAAGTCATATGAATAGCGATCCAAGACACGTTATATCCATTTTACAGTTTGAAAGGTATTAACGGGTGTCAGCAGTAAAACCTTTGACTTCAGCGGGTGGACATCCGTCTAATTACGTACCCGTCATCAGTTTCGTATCTTGAATTTGAAGAACTGAGAATCGATGGGCAAGAAAAGTTTTTGTGGTAGCCTCGTACGAGGCCGACCTTTTCTACTAATAACGATGCATTTAAGTTCCATCTTAGTTTTCAGGAGGGACAACGCATCTGCATTTTAGCATATTGATTCTAATTCGAGGCTAGATGTTGGTGTCTCACTTCCAAATTCACATAGCAATAGGTGGACTTTGTAATAGATTGTCACCCTTTCTCCTATTTATTAAAAAAACGTACGATATATTTGGAGGTTGTTACGAGTAGCTCAGTCAAATCCGACCGGAATAACACCACATTAATTTCACTAAACGCGATAAGTGTTGCCACCTCTAAGCACCACGTTTATATGTAGTATAGACACGCTGCACCTATATTATGGTTGTAGCACGTATGGGTCGGCTCGACCGGGGAAGGACCACGCTCTCACAAAATACTAGCGTAAAATAGCAGCTTAATATTGCTGTGTCTCGTATGGTGAGTATAGAGATCCAGAGACCCTTTTTTACTGGGAACGAGGCATTCCACCTTAGTCCCCAAGGGTGACAACGCATTTGCGTTTTGATTCTTATATTATAAATGTAGATGTCTATGGGCCACAGCATCACTTACAATCAGGTGGACTGTTTGCTCGTTTGTCATCCTTATTTTGTAAAAAAAACATGTTATTTGTTATAGGAGACTACGGAAGCAGGACCAGCTGTAGCTCAGGCAAGTGCAGTTGCCTCGCCGTCTAGGAGCAGAAACGCTAAACTGAGGTAAGTTTTCTTTGTAAAATATACCTCACCTGTCAAGATAGTCTCTCCTAGCAGACTAAGTGCATTTATTAACACTAAAGTGTAAACCGTGGTCCATGGTAATGGTCTATAATATCTCTCCATAGATCTTAATTTATAATAGTGCTTATAGTTTAATACTGTGTTAATTGATGGGCGTACATGAACACATCTATCGTCATTATTGGTTACGACACGTAGTGTTGTTAATATTACATTAATTAACGAGAGGTATCATTGGTGAGATACCAATCTTCGAGTCTTGATTAATGGTATTTAACATGTAAGCTATGTACCACTTTGTATCACTAGAAATTACATTTTTTACTATCGAAAAAAGAGATGTCGAGTGGTAGCGGATACCACGAAATGACAGCGTATATGCGATGCATTTGGCCCTGTGGGTGTCGTAAAGGTGACGATAGGGAGAGCTCTCACAGAATACCAGCGTAAAATAGCAGCCTAACGCTGCTGTATTTCGTATGGTGAGTGTAGAGAACAGGGGACTCTTTTTACTGAAAACTTGACATTCCATCATAGTCCTCAGGGGTGACAAAGTTTCTGCATTTTGCTTCTTAATTGAGGATAAATGTAGATGTTTATGGGTATCCGTATTCACTTGCCTTCGGGTGGACTGTATGTTGAAAGCTAGAAAGATCTCATGGCCTTCGAAAAATGGCAAAATATGATCGTGTATATACAAGATATACTCTTAAAATACGAGAAGCAACGTCAATGTTACGATCGCTAATGTCTTTCAAGCGTAAGGATTTTCAAATCTTCTTCATAACGAGAGATGCGTTTGTCCAGCAGTGGTCTACTTTTGGCGGATAAAGATGATGGATGAATAAGATAAGATATTTACGCAATGTAATTTTTACGCTGGTATTCTGAGAAAGCGTGATCCTTGTTCATTCGAGCTGCAACCATACTATAGCTGCAGCACGGCTTTACTGATTTGAAAGTTATATCTATTCAAATTACATTAAAATCAAAGTTTTTATGCGAATGTTTTATCAATTTATATTTTAGTCGATCCAGAAAATAATATAATGTTTAAGACACTTAAATATCACAACATGTTGGTAATATGATAATTGATATTTTATTTTCGTTATAGGAGCCGCCGTCCTCGTCCAGTTTTCACTGTTGACAGATCTGGACATTTGGTTCTCACCCGTGAAAAATGATTTGATTGAAGATAAAATGAAGAGAACGACAACATCGCTTTAGTATTAAATTATTTGCTGTACTATCAACATACTGTGCAAGTCCCATAAAATTGAGATCTTTATTAAAAAGATAAAGTTTTCATCGTATTGTGCGGGTTTTTAATAAATTGTTTAATTTAAACAGATGTGTTACATAGTTGAGAAGGATTTAAAAATCAAATGACAGTTATGACAGTTATGACAATGATTTATAATCTGTGTAAATTTTTTGTTTGTGATATATACATATGAATAAAATTGAAATGGCCGTCTGTAATATACAAATAACTGGCGTCTTTTAAGATCTTCTTTTATTTATCTTTTAAGAGGGGCTATTTTCATGCTATCAAGAAATTAATAAAGGTTTTAAAAATTTTGTTTATCTTTTGTTATAGGATAAGGGTGACAAACGAGCACACAGTCCACCTGATCCGAGTCCTGTCCTTCCCCTGATGGTTAGTGGATGCTGTGGCCCATAGACATCTACATTTATCCTCGTTCAAGAATCAAAACGCTGGTGCATTGTCACCCCTGAGGACTAAGACGAAATGTCTCATTTCCAGTAAAAAAGGGTCTTCGGATCTATACACTCACCACACGAAACACAGCAGTATTAAGCTGATATTTTGCGATGGTATTCTGTGAGAGCGTGGTCCTTCTCCAGTCGAGCCGAGGGCAAGTCAAGTAGGGGGCGCCACAGCGACACTGTCAACATCGTACTCGCTATTAGATAAGTTTTAAAATTATTTGTGTGTTCCAAAACAAAGTGATATAATCAAAATATAAAATCAGTGCATAAACTAATTCGAACAATATAAAAAACATAGTGCATATACAATAAAATTTATCAAAAAGTACACAAAATCGTTCTATTAAATGCCACTAGAAATCCGTTAAGATACCAAGAACATATCACTATTCAAGTGAAAAATTATTAGTGTAATGTGTACGACAAAACTGGAACTTGAATTATATTAAAACTGTAAGTAAACCAAAAGCATCAAGAACTATAACCTCAAAAGTGCTATGAAATCGTAATAAATATCTCTGTTCCTAAATCATCGATTAAGGTATCTATCAGCGCCATCTATTACGACCCATCAGAACTTTTTAGCCAGGTCCTAGTTCGACGCGCATTCTGATATCTCGCAACATTTAGGACACCTCTTAATACACTTAGACAACTCGATCGCCACTAAGTCAAGAAATACTTACCTGTTCCTGACTTACCTGAACTAAGCGAATTATAACCAAATATGGATGAAATAAAAAATATGTTAATTAGCATGCAGCAATATATAAAGCAGCAAGAACAACACATGCTAGAGATGAAAGAATATATTAAAAGTACATTAATTAACAGCCTCAACGAGAAGTTCAATAACTTAGTACTGAAAAATGAGCTTTTGGAGAAAAAAATTAAAGAGCTATCAAATAAAAGTAAAAACCTAGAAAGACAGTGTAAACGTAAAAATCTGATTCTTTTTGGCGTTGAAGAGAGAAAAATCGTACGAAGAACTGGAAAGAATGGTAATAAATATAATAAATACATACATAAAAATTTCATGCAATACTTAAAACATAGAAGCTGTTAGAAGGTTAGGGATAAAGGGTAAAAAAGTTCGACCGATAGTAATAACATTCAATACTTGGTTTTAAATAAAAAATACAAAAATACAAACATAACCTTCAAAACACTTCCTATTACTTAAAAGAAGACTACCCAATCGAAGTTTTAATTAAGCGTAAAGAGCTACAAGTCCAACTACTGAAAAAAAAAGATGCAGGAAACACCGCTTTTATAAAATACGACAAAATTATTATACTGACTAACAAAAAACCCCCACAGAAATAGTCAAGCAAAATAAGCCTCTCAGAGTCCCTGGAGAAGCTCCACCCTGATAACCAAAATGTATCTTTCTTTATTCTTTATTGTACACACAATAAGTTGGTAACAATTATTAAATATTTAAATAAATGTACAAAGGCGAGCTTAACCCTAATAAGAGTTCTCTTCCAGCAAACCTATTGGGAAAGAGAAATAGTTTTATATATAAAGCAAGTAGGTAGCAGCGTGCGTACTCAATAATTAACATAACGCTACTTAATAGAAATTGGCTATAAGTTACAGTTAACAATTAACATATAAGTGTATAACATATAAGTATAATTTATTTTCTTATTCCTTTTATTCTTATTTCTATTAATTTACATACATATATACCAATAAAGATAATAAATATAAACATATATACACATATACACACACATATATATACATATATATACATATATATATACATATATATACATACACACATACATATATATACAATTATACATATAAATACATAAAATATGTAAATATTTATAATTCTAAGTTGACAGATAATATTTCTTTACTCTGCTCCGAAATATATCAAGAGAAGAGCTAGCACGTATGTCATGTGGAAGTGAGTTCCATAGCTTGACCGCCCTTACAGTAAAGGATCCACCACAACGGCTTGTGAAATGAAAAGGAGTTTTGAGAAGTAGTTGTTTAGTGGTCCGGCACTGAGTTTCACGAGGTACAAGATACTCAAAACGCTCGCGGAGATATGGAGGTGCAAGAGGATTAAAGAGTAGAAAGTATAGAAATGATAACACATGTAAGTCTCGACGTTTACGGATAGGAAGCCATTTTAATTGAGCCCTGTACTCTGAAACATGATCAAACTTACGAAGACCGAAAATAAAACGTATACACAAATTTTGAACTCGTTCCAGTTTGTTCAACAGCTCCTCTGAAGCATCCAAAAAACTAACATCAGCGTAGTCAATGAGAGGAAGAAGAAGTGCTTGAGCTAAGGTTATCTTAGTTTTTAACGGTAAAAACATCTGGAGACGCTTGAGAGATTGAAAAGAGTAGTTCACTTTTCTGCTAATCATATTAATGTGAGCGACCCAAGACAAATTATTATCAAAAATAACACCTAAGTTCTTAGCGGTCTCTGTATATGGAATTTGAGTATTATCATACGTTACTGCAGGGATCTTCGAACGATCTAATAAATTAAGCATATATGAGCTGCCGATAATCATTACTTGGGATTTAGCAGGGTTAACAAGAAGACCAAACGATTTTGCCCAACTGCTTATGCTACTTAAGTCAGCATTCAGCTTATTAATAGCCTCATCTATATCTTGGACTTTGAAATGACGGTATAATTGCAAGTCATCAGCATAGAGATGATAATGAGAGGAGAGAACAGTAGTGAGAGCATTGATAAAAATAGAGAAGAGAAGTGGGGAAAGAACACCACCCTGAGGAACACCCGCCGTAAGATCACACCACTCGGAGAAATCCTCCTCATGGCGGACACACTGCGAGCGACCCCTAAGGTAAGAATTAAACCAAGAGATTACTGATGGTGAAATGTTTAAGGACGCAAGAATACCAAGAAGTATGTCATAATCAACTGAATTAAATGCACTGCTGAAATCCAATAATGTTAGAACAGTGAGAAGTCTTTTATCCATGGCCCAGCGAATATCATCAGACACTTTAATCAGAGCGCTGACTGTGCTATGGCCTGGACGAAAACCAGATTGAAAAAAATGGAAATAGGGCGGAATTGGGATAAAGATGTAGGATTAGAAGTTTTTGGAAGGGGAATGACGAATGCTTTTTTCCAGCAAGTCGGAAAGGAGCTCGTCTCAAGCGAAGAAGAGATAATGTGAGTGATAATAGGGACAAGTTCATTAGTGATAGGTTTAATCATTTGCATACAAAAATTGTCATAGGCAATAGCTTTAGTGGAAATAGATAAAAGGCATTTTTTTATGTCACCATCAGTAACTTTACTGAAATTAAAAGGAGAACACAGCGGTTTAGGAATATTGGAGAGAAGATTAAGTGTAGTAGACTTAATAGAGTCATCAATAGAAATCGGAGGCTCAGAAAAGTGCCGGTTGAGTGCAGTCAAATCAAACGAGATATTAGGATGAATATATGATTTGCCTATACCCAGGGTTCTAAAAAATTTCCACATCTGAGCGGAATGAGAATTTTCAACCTCATCATAAATATGTCTCCTCTTAGCATCACGACACATCTTACTACAGCGATTACGCAGTTTTTTATATGTGAATAAATTTTCATTAGTAGGGTGCTTCTTATAACGCCTCTTAGCTTTATCTCTTTTGGCCATTACTGCTTTTATAGACTCTGAAAGCCAGGGAGCTGGAAAGTGTTTAACCCTGACTCGCTTAAGTGGTGCATGTGTATCGAATAGTTTTAAAATGAGGTGATTAAAAGCATAGACCTTATGATTAACATCTTCGGAATTTAGAACAGGGGACCAGTCAATATTATTTACATCATTTCTCAAACGCTCCAGGTTAATTGATTTAAAGCTTCTTAGGAATAAGAATTTCGATTTACGCCTAGGACGTTGAATTTTATAGGAGAGGAAGATAAGATCGTGGTAAGAGAAAGACGCAGATAGTTGTCCATGCGAAGCAACCCGGTCAGCATCAGAAACAAGAATAAGGTCTAAAAGAGAAGGGGTATTATTAGGCGAATTGTGAGTAGCAGAAAGAGGAAGAATATGTAAATTAAAAGATGACACCAGGGAGAGCAGTTTTTTGCTACGAAAATCATTCTTTAACAGGCATGTGTTAAAGTCACCTAAAATAATGGTATTATCATAAAGCGGAGTTAGATTAACAAGTTTTTCTTCCAAAGAAGAAAAATAATTTATATTGCGAGAGGGGGGGATAATAGACCCCAAGCAAAGTCCTAGAATGATTAATAGTAATTTCAATAAATAAATGTTCAGCAAAATTTGTGTATATATTGGGTGAATGATCAACTATTTTATAAGGAATGTCAGCTCTCAAATAGATTGCCACTCCACCATAACCTTTGCCGACCCTGTCATTACGTATAAGTTGAAAACCAGGGAGACAATACTGTACCGACGGAAGTTCAGGCTTTA